GAAGAGCAAGGCCGACTCTTCGAAGCTCTAGATTTGGCTGTCTCCTCTTCCTTCGCCTTATCAAATATTCCGGAGGCCCCACGGGCTTGGAGTGTCTGTACAGCAGCCATGCGCAGCAGCAGAACTGCAGCAGCAGCTGCTGCTGCTGCCAGCGCTGCCCTCTCTCAGCGGGTTGCAGCTGTTTACAGACACCGTCAGCAGCAGCAGCAACAGCAGCAGCAGCAGCAACAGCAGCAGCAGCTGTGGATGATAGAGCTGTCCGGATACAGACTGGAGCAGAGCTGGCCCTCCACGGGAGCAGCAGCAGCAGCAGCAGCAGCAAGGGAAACCTGGAGAGACGAGGCGCTGCTGCTGGCAGCATCACAAGGCGACCCTGGAGAAACAGCAGCAGCAGCAGCAGCAGCAAAAGGGCTGTCTCACCTTTGCCGAGCTGTGCCGGAGGAGACACTGGTGTGGGCAGTGAGCCGCGCAGCAGCTGCGCAGCAGCAGCAGCAGCAGCAGCAGCAGCTGCTGACAGGCGCAGCCGCCGGCGCCGCCCCGCTGCTGCTGCAGCACTCCCCAGTTCTTGCTGCTTCCCCGCTGCTGAAGGCCCGAAGCCTTTCTTCTTTCTCTTTGCTGCTGCGCTGCTGCTGGCTGCCGCTGCTGCAGCTAGACAAAGAAGAGACGGAGCAGCTTGCTGCTGCTTTCGAGCTGTGTCTGCTGCACAGCCTGCAGCAGCTGGGCGAGCCTTCAGCAGCAGCAGCAGACCGCCCACTGCAGCAGCAGCAGCAGCAGCAGCAGCAGCAAGACATGAGTGTGGCCCCAATAAGCCTTTTCGCTCTCGCCTATTCTTGTCTTCCAAGGGGAGACACGGGAGAGGCATCTGCTGCTGCTCTTTTGCTGCTGCAGCACGCCATTTGCTGCAGCAGCAGCAGCAGCCTGCTGCTGGACATCGAGGCCGCGCTGCGGCTGCTGTGCTGCGCTGCAGCCTGGGGCATAGGCCCTGCAGCAGCAGCAGCAGCTGCTGCTGCTGCTGCTGCCACAGGAGAGCTACACAGGGTGAGCTGGAGAAAATGTCTTTTAATTTTTCTTTTCTTTTTATTTCTTTTGCTGCTTCCCTTTGCTTTATTCTAATTTACTTTTATTTCTTTTTATTTATATTTATTTTTTATTTTTTATTTTTTTATTTTTAAAAATAATTCAAATTCTTTCTGCTGCTCAAATGGTACTTTATTTGCCAACTAAGGCCTCGTGTTGCTGCAGCAAAAAGTCTTTTTTAAATTTAAGCCTTTTTTACTTTTTTTAATTCTGAGAAAGAATTAATTAGGGCTTTTAAAAAGGTCCTGCATGCATGCATGCATGCATGCGGGCATGCATGCACGCGTGCATGCATGCATGCATGCATGCATCGTGCATGCATGCATGCGTTTTGCATTTTTTATTTTCCGCTTTTCTTGGCTTTTCATGAAACACATTAATGCATTTTATCGAGTTCTGTCCTTGCCGCTCTGCCTCAGGCTCTAGGGTTTAGGGTTTAGGGTTTAGGGTTTAGGGTTTAGGGTTTAGTTGTTTTGCGGGTGCATGGGCTCAATCAACGCCTCCTTTTGTCTTTTTCTTTCTTGTTGTCTTTTAGTGCTTTGTATTTTTTTATTTTTAATTATTTCCCTCTTATCTCTATTTCTTTTTTATTTTTATTTATTTTCCTCGTCTCTTTCTACTTTTATTTTAAATTATTTTTCTTTCATTTCTTTTTATTCTTTAAATTCCTTTTTCTATTCTATTTTCCTTTTATTTCTTTTATATATTTTATTTGTTAAAATCTCTTTTTCCTCTTTTTGTCTTTTTTGTTCATTTTTTGTCCAATTTGATTTCTTGTTATCTCTTTTGAATCATTTCTAATTCTTTTTAATTCTTTTAAATCATTTCTAATCATTTTTAACCCGTTTTAATCATTTTTAATCCTTTTTAATCCTCTTTAACATTTTTAAATCTCTTTAAGTCTTTTAAATATATTTATTTTTAATTTTTTAATTTTAATTTTTTTTCTTCAGCACTCTTGCTCTGTAGACGCGGCTTTGGTGCTGCTGGCCAACGCGGTTTACCTCCGCCCTGAGTTCAGCCGGGGTACGCAAACGAGGGTTTAGGGTTTAGGGTTTAGGGTTTAGGGTTTAGGGTTTGGGGTTTAAGGTTTGGTGTGTAAGGCCTATTTTCCCGTTGGGATCTCCTTTGCCTCTTTTTGTGTATCTCCCCTTTTGCTGCTTGAAGTGTCTCCTCATCAGCTGCGCTGCTGTTTTGTTGCTGCTGCTTTTGCTGCTGCTGCTGCTGCTGCTGCTGCTGCTGCTGCAGTGGGGGGCATCGACGTTGCTGCTGTCGTCACGCAGCACTTGGTGCGGATCATTTTGCTGGAGTCTCTGGCGGCGCCTCCAGGAGCAGCAGCAGGCGGCGCTGCTGCTGCTGCTGCTGCTGCTGCTGCTCCCTCTGCTGCAGCAGCAGCAGCTGCTGCTGCTGTCTCCTCCGGCCGCCTATGCATCGCCCTTAAGCTGCTGACCCTCGGAGTTGGTCTTCTCTGGAAGCCGCAGCACCTCAAAAGCAGAGGCAGGGCTTTGCTGCTGTTGCTGCTGCTGCTGCTGCTGCGTTTGCTGTTGCTTCTGCTGCTGCTGCTGCTTTTGCTGTTGCTGCTGCTGCTGCTGCTATCGGCTGCGGGTTTTTTTCCCCTTTGTATGTCTGTTTATTTAATTTTATTTCCATTAATTTACTTTTTATTTCATTTAAATTTTATTTAATTTTATTTAATCTTATTTTATTTTATTTTATTTATCTTTTAGGCATTTTGGCACTTCTGGAGGCCTTCGCCCGAAAGGCCCGTTTGCAGCCGCTTTTAAAAGAAACTTCAAAACAGGTAAAGTTTTTATTTATTTATTTCTTTTTATTTTATTTATTTATTTATTTATCTATTTATTTGTTTTATTATTTATTTATTTTGTTATTTTATTTTATTTATTTATTTATTTATTTTTGTTTTATTTATTTATTTAGTTAGTTCTTGTATTTAGTTATCTGTTTGTTTTATATATTCATTTGTTTATTTACTTATTTTATTTTTATTTGTTTGTTTTTATTTTATTCGTCTATTTTTTTAATTTTATTTTATTTTGGTTTAATTCTATTTTATTTATTTTATTTTGTTTTGTTTTGTTTTACATTTTTGCTTTTTCTTTTTTATTTTTGTTTATTTTATTTTTATTATTTATTTCACTTTTTCGTTTTAGCTTTTTGCTGCCGCTGCTTACAGCCAGGGCTGTTATCTTTGCTGTTTCTTTTTTTAATTTTTAAATCTTTTTTGAATTTTTTAAATCCTTTTAAATCTTTTTTAAATCTTTCTAAATCTTTTTAAATGCTTTTTAATGCTTTTTAATTTTTTCCAATTCTTGTCCTCTTTTATCTCCTTCTTTTTCTTTTTTGGTCATTTTTCTTTTTAATTTTTTAATTTTTTAATTTTTTAATTTTTGTCGGTTTTCGTTTTGCTGCTGCTGCAGGGCGCTCTGCAGTACTACCAGCTGCTGCTGGCGGTCTTCCCGCTGACGCAGGAGCAGCCAGCAGCAGCAGCAGCAGCAGCAGCGAAAGGAACAGCAGCAGCAGCAGCAGCAAGTCCTGTAGCTGCTGCTGCTGCTGCGCTGCTGCGGCGCCTCGTGCGGATGGATTTGCCTGGGGCTACTAAAGCCCTTTCTAGAGCAGCCAGGTACTGCTGTTGCTGCTGCTGCTGTTGCTGCTGCTGCTGCTGCAGCTGCATGCATGGAGTTCCCTCTGTTGCAGGCCGTTGCTGCTGCTGCCGCTGCCGTTGTTGCAACAGGTGGCACACGTTCAATGCTGCTGCTGTTGCTGCAGTTCGTGCTGCTGCTGCTGCTGCCACATTTGCTGCTGCTGCTTCTGCCGCAGTTGCTGCTGCTGCTGCTGCAGGCAGCTCTGGAGTTTGTGCACTGCTCCCTGCCCCCCTGTCTTTTCATTTTTGTTAAATAGCAATTTATTTTATCTATTTTATTATATTATTTATTTTATTTCTTTTCAATTATTATTTTTAAATTTGTTTTTCAGGATGGAAGAAACAAACTGCCACTTGGCTGCGCCTGCGCTGCTGTTTCTTGTGGATTGCTTCACTCGGTAAGAAAAGAAAAATAAATTAAAATAAATAAATTTAAATTGATTAAATTAAATTAATTAAATTAAATTAAATTAATTAAATAAAATAAAATTAATTAAATTAAATTAAAAAATAAAGTAGTTAAAAGTAATTCGATGAACTGAATGAGATGAAAGAAGGAAGTTAATTAAATGGAATTAAAAGAAATAAAAAAGAAAAAGCAAGAGGCAAAAAACAAAAACAAAGACAAAAGAATTAAAAAGAAACTGCAGCAGCAGCAGCAGCAGCAACAGCAGGAAGCAGAAGCAAATGAGACAGCAAGACGAAATCATGCTCTTGCTGCTGCTGCTGCTGCTGCTTTTGCTGCTG